GTCCCTAAAATTAGTTTATGGTAACTGTTAGATTCAAACGGAGATTTCCTTCACAGATTGGCATGGAGTGAGTATTTCTCTGGAACCTGCTGTCTTTTCCCCACCCCTGTTTCATGGGGAGGTTTTTCTGATTGTAATGGGTCATTTTAGGCAGATTCCAACGAGTCAACCTTCAGGTCCCCTGCAGCGACACAGATTTTTAAATGAGTATGCATGGATTATTAGTCCATGTCAGTCATGGAGGTTATTACAGTCAGGAGGCCTGGGGGTGTGGCTGATGTAGCCGAATTTGACCTTATTAGAAAATTAGGCTTAGTTTACCTACTTTTAAAGTAATTTAAAATAATGTGCGCTTAGGACATAAAATAGGTTACTAGCTAAATTAGACAACCTCTAAATTGTAGACTAAAATGTTTACTTATTTGCTAATGGACAAATGATAAGGTACAATAAAACTGAACAGCAAAGTTTTTGTGATGCAGTAGCTAAGGTGTTACCTTTTTCTCGGTTTACAGCCAATCCTTTGTTTTTTTTTTCGGTACTAAATTTGTCCCGAAGGGGGGGGGGGTATGTAGTGTCTAAAAGTGGAGGCCTCTTCTCAGGAATGCACAGATGTACTATGTCTCTCTTAGACCCCAGCTTCAGAACTCGGCACATATTACCATATTAGGAAAAGAATGTTTAAGGTATACCGTGACAAAATTTATGGTGCATCTGTTGGACTGCACTGTGAAACCTATAAAAAGGCTTGTACGCCCCTACTCTTCGCCTTCGTCTTCATCTTTTTACCTGGTGATTCATTTGGCTTAGAAGGCCACYATTHGGTTTTTGGCTGTAAATCTCCTGGACTGCAAAATAAAGATTRTTGCTGTTCAACCAGCCTGTTTCAGAGTTTCTCTCTTCAGGAGCAGCAGCAGTTTGCAGAGCCGAGAAGACCCGGTTTTTACACCTCACACTACAAAGACAAAATGGTTAATGTTCAAACGAATCCATTTTATTGTTTTTATTTTATTTTGTTTTATTTTATTTTTTTGCAAATAGTTACTCATTTTTAATTTGATGCCTGGAACACGTTCCATAAAAACTGGTACAGGTTTATGTTTACCACTGTGTCACATCACCTTTCCTTTTAACAACACTCAGTAAGCGTTTGGAAACTGAGGACCATAATTGTTGAAGCTTTGTAGGTAGATTTCTTTCCCATTCTTTACTTGATGAACAGCTTCTCTTGCTCAATAGTCCTGGGTCTCTGTTGTCACTGTTTGTGTTTCATTATGCACCACACATTTTCAGTGAGAGACAGGTCTGGACAGGCAGGCCAGTCTAGTACCCCAACTCTTTTACAGCTACGCTGCTGGAACACATGCAGAATGTGTCTTGGCTGTCTTGCTGAAATAATCATGACATCCCTGAAAAAAGACGTGGCTTGGATGGCAGTATACAGTTGCATGAAAAAGTATGTAAGGGATTTCTCAGATTTCTGCATAAATTGGTCATTAAATGTGTTCTGATCTTCATCTAAATCACAACAATAGACAAACACAGTCTGCCACACAAAAAATTATATGTTTGCATGGTTTTATTGAACACAACATGTAAACATTCACAGTGCAGGGTGGAAAAACTATGTAAATCCCTTGGCAAATGACTTTTCTAAGAGCTAATTGGAGCAAGGATTGGATGTGCCCTACCCTATAAAAAAACACCTGGTTTGAGTTTGCTGCTCTTAAGAAACATTGCTTGATGTGAATCATGCCTCGCACAAAAGAGCTCTCAGAAGACCTATGTTCAAGAATTGTTGACTTGCATGAAGCTGGAAAGTGTTACAAAAGTATCTCTAAAAGCCTTGATGTTCATGTGTCCACGGTAAGACAGACTACAAATGGAGAAAGTTCAGCTCTGTTGCTACTCTCCCTAGGCGTGGATGTACTGTAAAGATGATTGCAAGAGCACAGCGCAGAATGATCATGAGGTGAGGAGGAATCCTAGAGTGTCAGCTAAAGATTTACTGAAATCTCTGGCACAACATTACACATGGTATAACATTTTTGTTGACAAAGCTACAATACGTAAATCATTACACAAGAATGGAGTTCATGGAAGGACACCACGGAGGAAGACACTGCTGTCCAAAAAAGCCATTGCTGCACATTTAAAGTTTGCAAGAGAGCACCTGGATGAACATCCCAACTTTTTTTTCTGCTTGGCCTTAATGAGTCGGACGCTTTTTGCCTTCTCTCCCGAACCTGTCAATCCTTCCCTGCTTTGCAGCTGTGTCAAGCCTTTTTCTTCTATCTATCATCCGAAAACAAAAGGAATTATGGATTTGGTCAACTGGTCTCTGAACGCAATCGACAGTATTTTTTCTACACTGAGATTGGAGCAAGGGGAGCACAGCTGTCCCAGTGGAATGGTGGCGGCCGGGCGATTGTCTGGGTCTTGGGGGTGGAATCTCATCTGTTTGGCCCCGCTTTCCATCTAAGACGTGGAAGACCTGTATATATTCAGATTTATGATAACTGGATTCCTGCTAATCGGCTGTGGAGGAGTCCTGGGTTATCAGAAAATGAAAGTGATCCTGATAGCAGTCCAGGAATGTCAAAAGCTGTCAGGGACCATGGATGGGATCTCCCGTATTGAGATTGCACAAACTCAAATGCTGGGGGATATAAGTCGCAAACTGAATGTGATTCGGACGAGGATCACAGTACAGCAGTGCGCCCGTGAGGAGTGAGATTACACCTGGGTAAAGTTTCAGACTGAGAGAGGCGAGGAGGTATTGGAATTCGGAACATTGGGCCTCATGCAAGAACATGTTCGTATTATTATCCTAAATTTTTCTTACTTTTGTTCGTACGAAGAGTTCGTACGAACATGTCACGTCAGATTCAACAAACTCTTCTATCTTCAGGAAAAGGGTGTAAATGAGGAGCGTAAATTGCACCTGTTCGTATCCAGCTGCTCGTGCACGCGAGAGGAAATTAGCATAATTACCACCCCAAAAACACCATTAAGGCTATGTTTCCTGCCTCCGATTTCAGGAAGTGTCCATTCATGAAAAATGACAGCGAAAACTAAAAAGAAGAACTTTACGAGATCAGAGATTGAGGTCCGTCTGTCAGAGATCCAGAAAAGAAAATCTGTCATTTTTAGCAGGTCAGCTGTGGAATAAAAAGAGCTGCTAAAAGTATAAACAACTGTGTTAAATCATTTTCATTTATTCAGAAGCCACGGCGCTGCGCACCATACACCCCCACCCCCCAATCCCCCGTAGGTGGTCTCAGTTGCGGTTCTGAAATAAGCCTTTTAAAATGATTTCAAAATAAGTCTGGCACTTTGGAGAAAAACCAGGACTCGCTGGAGGGATTGTGCATCCCTTCTGGTCTGGGAACGTCTCGGTGTCCCCCCAAGACGAGCTGGAAAATGTCGCTGTGGAGAGCGGGGTCTTTCTGCAGCTGCCCACGCTACCCGATCCCGGATAAGCAGCGGAAAACGGACGAATGGACAATTTATATTGTTAGTCTAAATTATTACATTTAAAATTATAACTCTAATTCAAGCAGAATAGCCTACTGTCAACATAATTATGGAGTGTAATTTATTTTCAACTCAAAATATCTTCAGACTAAAGAAATATGAAGTTATTAGGGAGGAAAACCCATCTGGATAACAGCACACTGACTGCTCGTAAAATATACAACAGGTCTGGACCACTCGTGAATTTTGTTCGTATCTGAAAAAAATCTTAGAATACGAAAACATTGGTGAATACCACAAATTCTCTTAAATCACTCGTACGCACAACTTAAGAACAAATCTGTGCGTACGAACGGTTCTTGCATGAGGCCCATTGGCTTTTTTTCACAAACACAGAGATGCAGTTATGACTCAAAGCAGAGAAAACCAGGCTGCTTGCCTCAAACAATTATGTTTATTATTGGATCCCTGCAGCTGGTGACCTTGGGTCGCAAGCTATCAAACCTCTCTGGATGATTCATAAGGAAAAAGCCTAGACTCCCCCAACCCCTACCCATCTCAACTGTGATGGATCAGTCTGAAGGCCGCAATGGGTGGAGACAGAGGACTGACTCTGGTGATTTGTGCTTTCTGTTGACAACAAATTGTTCGGACTCTGGAGGTCTCTGATTGGTTCCAACACAGAGTACTAACCTGGAATGTCACCGGCTCCGCTGAACCCCACCCCATACCATGTGTTAGTGCCCCCCACCTCCCTCCCGTCCTTCGCTGCCTTGCACTATGCAGAGTGTTTTTTTTTTGAGTGCATGACTGTGTGTTTCTGTGTGAAACATAGGATCAAAGCTCTTTTTTAACTCACCTTACCTAGTGTGTGTATTTTAAGCTGCGAAAGGTAGCGCACGTCAGTGCAAAAAACCGTGGACATTCGTTCTCCCACGTTTGTTATGTGTGTCTTCTCCGAATGGATGTTCTAAACTGCAAATGCCTAGTCTGTGTTTATCACTGACAGTGGCAGTAAAGCTCTTTATGATTTCTAATTTCAGGAATTGGGTTTACTTTGTGCTATTTAATCATTCAGTTCATTCAAGAAATAGTATGAAATCTGTTTTGATTGTTAGTTCAACTGTCTATTTTTCTACTCTAATATTTAATTTCAACACGTTTGTTTGCAGTCAAGTCACAAAGTTACCTTTAAGTTCTTATCTTTTCCTGTTCCTCAAATAAGCTTTTKTGAACATTTTGTTTTGTTTTGGTCTGATTGACAGATCAAACCAACCATTTGGTTTCTGACAGCAGAAACAGTAGTTAATCATTTTTTATTAATTGTCAGCTTTTTTTCAGCGTAGTTTGCATCAAAGAATGAACCTCACTCCTCAGTTATAAAGCTTGTTAACCTTTACACCACCAAGAAACCTTTACTTAATTTGGTTGCTGTGTTTCTACAATAAGACCAGAAGGAAATTACAACTCTATGATGATTTCTTAAATCCAGGCTGAGATTTGAGCCAAAATAAGGAACCCACCTGCAATCAGACTGGAAACGATGAGAGGAAGCATCATCATCTGTAGGATTCTCATCATCAGCTCTCCAGGAAAAGTTATGTACATTATTTCCCGAGCTGACATATTAACTTGTCGCAGAGCAAAGCCCAGGCCAATTCCTCAGGTACAAAGACACAGATCAGAAAGTCAGTGTTGGTCCACAAATGGAGCAACAACAAGCCAAACAAAAAAACAAATCAGACTGAAAGAGATTTCAACATTTCTCTTACCTACAGCAACAGCAACCATTGTGAGAATCACAAAGGCATTTTTCTTGATAAAAGACCAAACATCACATTTTTTCTGAATCCACATCACTTTAGTCTCAGAGTATCTGTCGTTCAGCTGGAAGTCTTCAGGTTGCACCATCTCTCCTGACTTCATCTCAGACATGTCTAAAGCTCTGGAGCTTCTGGTTCATAATTACTTCCAACAACCAGTATGACTGAGGGGGGAAAAAAGAGAAACCATTTGGTCTCGTACAAATCATGAGAATAATACTGACAACTAGTGTTTAAACTGGTACTACAGCCAAAATTCAAAACAGTGGAGGATATTCTTTCCCTTCCTAGTTTTCAATTTGCCTACATATTTTCTTACAGTCTTTAAAAAATTTTTTAGATTAGAATTTTCTGCCTATAAATTAAAGCAAGATTCACCAGGACATGGTCACAAAAATCATGCAGAATGTGGCCAAGAACTGAGGACCATGAACATCGACAAATGCACAAAAACCCCAAATAATCGAGTGGGGTGGAAACAGATTTCTGCTGCAACACACACACACACACACACACACACACACACACACACACACACACACAC